AGCTGCAGGCAGGAGGAGAGGGAGCTGCAGGCAGGAGGAGAGGGCGCTGCAGGCAGGGGGAGGAGAGGGCGCTGCAGGCAGGGGGAGAGGGCGCTGCAGGCAGGGGGAGGAGAGAGGGTGCTGCAGGGGTGAGGAGGAGAGGGAGCTGCAGGCAGGGGAGAGGGAGCGGAAGGCAGGGAGGCGAGGGCACTGCAGGCCAGGGGAGCAGCACAAAGGCGGTCACAGCCAGTGAACCCCTGAATCTATTGCCTGGCAACAATTTGCAGACTTTGACCTGATCTATCCCACTAAGTCATTTTTAAGGTAGATACAGCTTGGCTCAATTAGTAATGAATGTTTCCTTGAGCTCCGTGTTGTCTTGAAGGACTGTCTATGTGCAATCAGACTGACAACAGGAGCCCTGCAGCACAGATAAGAACTTGAAGGGGCAGAGAGTCTAACTTAAGGGTGGTGAACAATATGGGTAGCTGGCGAGAATGGTGACACAACATGAAGTGTAGAACTGTCACTGAATTGCACAATTAAAAACTAGCAAATGGGTGTATATTTTCACTTAAATAAATAGAAAGGCCCTGTCACAAGGGCAGCACGAGGCACAAGGGGTGACAGGCTTCTGAGCCGTTTGTGTCTGCATCCTCCCCCTCACCTCCCAGCTTCTCTCAGTCTCCCTAGTGTCACTCTTACCCCCTCAGGCTGCTTGTGGAGCAGTCCCTTGCCAGAAGTTCTCCCAAAGCTTCCTATTGCCCCTGGAGAAAAGGAGCCTCAGCTGGAGGCCCCCACCTGCCTCTGTCACTTGTCCCACCTCTGCCTCGCAACCAGGGCTGGATATCCAGCTTGCTCCTTCAATGGGCAAGCTCTCTTCAACCTCAGGGCCCTGTCACTGGCTGCTTCTCTCCCTGTTAGGCATGCCCAGCTCCTTACTATTCGGCTCCTCACAAGTTACTCTCCATCTTGCCCCCTGCTTCCCTGCCGTCACGCCGGGCATGACCTGCGTTATCTTCACATGTCCTCACTGGTTCACATAGGGGCCCATGCACCTCTTACTCATGGCTGTACCCCTCACCAACCTGCACATAGGATGAGTCAAAGACATGCGTGTGTGCTTGTCTGCAGGACCCCTTCTCTAGATAATGTCGCCTTTCCAGCAAGTTCTGCCAGGGCAAAGCAGGCCGTGCCCTCCCTTCCACCTCTTACTGAGTCTGCACTCCTGTTCGCCCCTCTGTGACTCATGGCTATGCCACTGTGGACTAACCATGGCCACTGTCCCTGGCAAAGAGGATTGACGGCACCTGTCTTCATGGGTGAAGCTCTGATGGCACAGTGGTTAAGGCATTCGACTGCTAACCAAAAGGCTGGTGGTTTGAACCCAACTGCTGCTCTGGGGGAGAAAGATGAAGCTGCCCGCTTCTGTAGAGACTGAGCCTCAGAAACCCTATGGGGAAGTTCCACCCTGCCTTACAGAGTCGCTCCGAGTCAGAATCAACTCGATGGCTGTGGGTTGTTTTTGGTTATCTCTATGGGCAGAGGTCCCTGGTCAAATGGTTTGAGCTCAACCACTAACCTACAAGTTGGGGGTGCAAATCCACCTAGTGGCACTGCTCTCGTAGATTACAGCCAAGAAAACCCCACGAAGCGCGGTTCTACTTTGTCACATGGGGTCACCATGAGTTGGAACTGACTGGACAGCAACTGGCTTTGTTTTTAAGTGGTATCATTATTATGTTATGTCCAGAAATATTAACGACTAAAATGATTTATGTGAGGATTATTTCAAAATCATCTAGGGTGTAGGGAAGTAAGGAGAGGGTGAGATGAAACAAGAATAGCCACATATTACACTTTCACCAAGAAGACAATATAATACCATTAACGTAATAACAAAGAATAGCTATATATTGATCAAGGAGCTCTGGTGGCATAGTGCCTAAGGCACTTGACTGCTAACCAGACAGTGGTTCAAACCCACCAGCCACTTCTCGGAAGGAAGGTTGGGCAATCTACTTCCATAGTGATACCACCTGGGAAACCCAAGGAGGGGTTGCTATGAGTCAGGTCTGACTCGACAGCAGTGAGTTTGGTTTTTTTTTTAGTATATATTGATCAGTGTTGAAGCTGGGTGATAAGTTCTACGTGTTACACCTTACACAATAAAAAAAGAAAAAGAAACTCGAGTTGGAAGTCTTTCCTGAGATGTGGGTGAGGCCACCTGGATGAGGACAGCAGGGCCTCAGAACCATCCCTATGGATCCCGGACTCTACAGCACACGCATGCTGTATGTCCCCATCAGCCCGCAACAATCGCCCTCTGACATGCCCCTGCCGGTGGCAGACTGAGAAGGCTGGGCCGCAGAGCTGAGAAGAGGCAGGGCTATGCCAGGGCTCATCTGTGAGGCAGGACAGGAATGAGGAGTGCTGGCCCCATTCGGGGCTCCTAGGCCTACCTCAAAGTCCTCTGGGCAGCTCCGCTTGCTGTTGTTGTTGTTCAGGTTTTCCCGGTTGAGTAGGTTTTTATCAAGCTGGGCAGGGGGCCTCTCCCACCTCCCTGCTGCTAAGCCCTCCTCCCTTTCCATCTCCTCCATTTGGGGCCAGGAGCCACTTCGGCCTTTGGGGACCTCAAATGCTAGCTGCTTCTTCCCTTCCTTTTCGCAGGGTCTGGAGCTTTCTGGGGGCTGCCTGGTGGGCAGGTGCACCTCTGCCAGCTGAGCTGCCTCCTCCAACAGAGCGTCCCTCTCCAGGTCATCAAGCTGGACCGAGCTGCAAGTTTCATTGTTGGGGGAATGCAGGAGGGGGTCCGAGAGTTGCCGGAAACAGCAGGGGACAGGAGCCCTGCTGCCTGGGGGTCCAGGCTGGGCATCCTCGTCTGGGCCTGGCAGCTGGGCTTCCAGGGAGCTGTCCAGGGCCTCTGGCAAGAAGTCCCCAGGTCCCGCAGGGCCCTCGGTGGTCTGCTGGAGGCTGTTTCCGGTCTGCTGACGCCACAGCTTGTTGTGCCGCTGTTTGCTGAGGGGAGAGGAGACAGGTGGGTTAGCAGGAGGAGAGTGCCCAGAGGTGGGTGGAAGGCGGGTGGCAGGGCTGTCCACGGCCGGGCAGACGCCAGGTGCAGGCTCCACGGCCCTCTCGGGTAAAGCCCCCTCTATTTATTTGTTCTGGGAGAAAGCAAGGCTACAAGACGTGGCACAGGGCACTGTTATGGACTGAACGTCTTCCACAAGCATGTGCCGGCATCCCACCCTACACCTGAGCATGGGATCCTATTTAGAAAGAGTTTGTTATATTAATTAGATCATAATTGAGCAGGGTGGGTTCTCAATCTAATCACTTCTGAATTATAAAAAGAGCAGATAAAAAAAGAATTAGATTACACACACACACACACACACGCAGAAGAGCCATGCAAGGATCAGCTCAAGCCAAGACACCAAGGAACACCCGAGGCTACGGGCAAGGAAGGAATGCACACCACAGAGACCCTGCTTTGGACTTCCAGCCACCAGAGCTGTGAGAACTTAAGGGTCTGTTCTTTACAGCCACACGTTTGTGGGATTTCCACTATAGCAACACCAGGAAGCTAAGACAGAGAGTAAACCAACAGGGTTCCACCAAGTAACATGGTTAGTAATGTAACTAACCTTAAATGACTTTCCAGTCACATTAGGACCATGTGGCAGACGCAGGACAGGAGTCTACATTTGAAATCTTTGTATCTGTGCTTTAGTCCCACCTTCTGTTGCTACCTTAGGCATGTCACTTACATTCCCTGTCACGTTAGGCATGTCACTTAGGTTCCTGCTCAGTATCTCTACCTGTCAGGTAAGAACTCTGGTGGCAAAATGCCTAAAGCATTTTGACTGCTAACCAGAAGGCTGGCAGTTCCAAGCCATCAGCGACTCCTTGGAAGGAAGATGAGGCATCTACTTCTGAAGTGTCTCCCTGTGTATATACAGCCTTTCTATTCTCCCATGATTGATCTCTTCAAGGAGTGTATCTACCTAATGTAAATGTTCAGCTCATGTGCCTGTCTTTTGTCTGGCTGGAAGCTACAGGTGTGGGTTCAATTCCAGACCTGAAGGGCAGCTAGGGGCCATAGTTTCAGAGGTTCCATCAGGCTCTATCAGACCAGCAAACCTGGTCCCTTTTTTTTTTTTTAAATGATTTTGAGTTAAACTATGGTATTCTTATAACACATTTTTCAAATATAAGGCTTAAAAAAAAAGAAAAGAAAAGAGAGAGAGAGAGAGAAAAAAAAGGGCTCAAAGCAAAATAACGGAAGTAAACCACTTTCAGGAACCTTGTACAGAGTTGCATCTTGGCATTGTGAAGGTTAAGTGAAACAAGCAAGAGGGAAGTAAACATAACAGCACAGTGCAAATTAAGGATGTGCTGCTGTTCTTCACTGCAAGGCTGTCCCGTGATGCCGCACATGTTCCAGGCGAGGCCAAGAGGGCCTGCAGATGGGGCTGCTCTTCAAGGTCAATGCCACGCTGCTGTGAACCGGGCCTGGAAAGCTGGTTAGGCTGCAAAGGACATGGATGGGCTCAGGGAGAGGCAAGCAGGCTGCCCAGTCCTCCTCTTGCCCCGCCTGGGGACCTGTCCAGGACTTTCTGGCTGATGGTGGAGGAGTCCAGAGATGCCAGGGGTGCTCCTGCTTCCCCAAACTTGGCTAAGACTCTGATAGCCAGGGCAGGTGGACTCAGCCTGTGGCTTCTTTCCAACACCAGCCAGAGGTCTGCTTCTTGTCCACAGGTGGAATAGACAAGGAGGGGGAGAGAGTGGGGTCTGAGCTGCTGGCCCCTCACTGGACAGCCTGGAGTGCAGGACCTCCCTGGGATCCCTGCAGGAGCCCACATGGGGTGTGTTCATTTTGGGCCCCCCACACCAAACACTTCCCACCTGGGAGGCAGACAGGCCTGGGTACACAACTCCCATGTGCCATCCACTGGCTGAGTGACGTAGGACACAGTGACCTCTAAGGGTCAGTTCCTTATCTGCCAAAGGGGGAGAAGCTCTGCTTTGCAGACTTACTGTGGGTAGAGATAAGAGATGTGAACGCCAGGTACATTTATTGAGCATTGACCATGTGCCAGGTCTGGTAAAGCATTTCTACAGTTAAACTTGGATGGTACCCAAGTGAGCCTCATGACACCCTGTCAGGGGGTTGTTATACAGAATTCCAACTCAGAAGAGGAACTGAAGTGCAGGGAGAACGCCAAGCTTGCCTAGAGCCGCACAGCTGTCTGCTGGGACAAAGACGGCCCGTGCAGCCCCATGTGTACTCTGTAGAGAAGCCTGAGCTAGGGCCCAGCACAACGCAGATGCTCATGGAGCAGGAGACACACACGCCCTTGCCATACACAACGTCCGGTGCTGGGCTAGAAATTAGGCACTGTTCCTTCCAGCAGCCAAATGCCCTGTGTGCATGTGCCAACAAAGTCGAAACAGATTCCTCCTGGAAACCACTTATCGAATTCCAAACGATAGTTGTTTTTCTCCAGCCAGCTCCCCGGCAAGGCAGGATTTCAGCTGGGGAAGCTGGTGCCAGGAGACACAGGAGCATATTCGGATGCCCATTGGCACACGGCTGACAGGGGAGCAGGCTTCGTGCACTCAGCTGTGCCAACGCTTCTCTCCAGACAGGCGCTCACCCACCTTGCGTCCAAGATGCCTTCATACTCAGACAGCTGCCTCATAAAGCCGGCGTTGGGCCGTGTGATGCTGCGCTTCTGCTTCACGTAGTTGTACGCCTTTTCCAGCGGCCAGCCAAATTCCTTCATGGCATAAGCGATGACGGTGGACGCTGATCGGCTGACCCCCATTTTGCAATGGACCAGGCACTTGGAATGGTTCCTCCTGCAGCAGTGGGGAGGGGCGAGGGTTAGAAAGCTGAAGCCACTTCCCTCTCTGGAGTTTCACCCACCTGATTCGTCTCCATCCAGATCCTCCTGTGTCCTAATGTTTATGGAGCAGACGTCCACCCACCCTCGTAAGGAAATACCTCCGCCGCAAAATCAATTAGCGTGCAATGGCAAAGCAAGATAAACTTGACCTTTCCTATCCAAGTTGTCCAGGGAGGGCCAGAGTGGGAGGCTTCAAAAACCCCACTGAGGGACACAAGCAGGGAGCTCCAGGTTTCTGCGTGAGGGGCCCGCTGCTCTCGCAGACTGTGACGGTGAAGAGCTGTTGTCAGGACACGGGGTCAGGGAACTGAAAGCTGCAGGGCCCGTGGGGGAGTGAGATGGTCGCAGGCAGAAGGCTGAAGGAGCAAGAGCAGGGGAGACAGTTCTCTCTCGGCTCAAGCAAGCACAGAGCTGGCAGAAGATGGGGCTGATACGGTGTGTGTGGAGGCGGAAGTGGTCCCGGAGTGGCTCGACTGACAGCGCAGGTCTGGGGAACAGTGCGTGTGTACATATCCCTTAACCAAGGGTTTTGGTAAGAACGGCAGGAGACGAAATGCTGGTATGGAAAACACCTGTGCAACTTTATTTGCATGGTAGAGACACCCACCAGCCAGCCTGTTTATGTTAGAAGCAGCCCACCGGTCAGGTGCGTGCAAGCTCATTTAGTACGGCCCTTGCTCACAGTGCCTCCCCAAGTCTTAAGTGCTTTTTTATGACTCCTAGTCTGGAGTCTCCATAAAGGGCCCTGACTCTGTCCCCTGGGAGCACAAGGGAACCAAGATCTGGTAAGGACATGTTGTGTAGCTTTGACCTGGGGAAGGGAAGGGGTGTGAAACAGAAGGTGGTGTTTCTCAAAGGGTTTGTCGCTTTCTGTTCCTGACTTCACTGAAACAGTTCTGTGGGAGAAGAACGTGAGGTCAAAGAAGGGTGAGACCAGTGACATGCTCGGGGCAGGGGGGCTGCCTGCATCCTGTGGCAGGTCCTCACCATTGCAATGAATAGGAAGCTGGCAGTGACTCAGGTAAGGACAGAAGGCTGCGAGATTTCTTAGGGGAAGGCGGTCCCAGAGGTACTCAAACTCCCCATCCAGGCTGCTTCTCTCTCCTCTGCTACCTTTGGCTCAGCAACCCCCCTACCCCACCCCCGGGTGGAGCTCCCAAGAGTACCCAGCTCCTTGCCTGGAACCAGTGCTGATGACGAGACTGGGGTCAAGTGTCACGGTCAAGAATAGGTGGCAAGGACAAGGACATGAGGGCTGTCATCTGGAGGAGACCAACTTCCCTTTGGTGCTGGGGTCCCATGGCCTGAAGCCAAAGGTCTATCAGACGTGGAAGCCCCCCAAGCCAGGAGACATGCACCCGGGACTGCCATGGGTCCGCCGGGCATGTGCCCACCGGCGTCCTCCCCACACCGCTTTCTGTGGCTCCTCCTTCCACTTACTTTGCTTTGTTTATAAAATGATACGCTTCGTTCCAGTGGGCGAGCAGGTCTGTGGTCTCTTCGTCATAGACTCGGATATTATGGTATGCAAATAAGCCAGGGAAGAAATTATCTATTTCTCTTGTTACATTCAAAATGTAGTCAACGCTGCAATGAGAAAGAGAAAACAGACAGAAAACAAATTTGGAGAACCAGAACCAGGAATGACAAAACCAAAACAAAGCCACAACAACAAAGTAACAAAAACTGGAGGGGGAAAAAGAAACCATAAAATGCACCAAACCATTAATAAAGGGCATATACTGGGCTTTTCTTTTTGCTTTGTGATGTTGTTTTTTTTTTTTTTTTGATTCTCTACAAGCTTTCTGTATAAGGAGGCTGTATTACATGTACACAAAAATATCCAAATTTCTTGATTTAAAAAATTTGTAAAAAGAAGAATCATTTCAAAGTATAGCAGAGCAGGGCTGATTCTGGAGAGTTAACAAGCGTATTAATCTCTAAACCCCTGAAAGCTTCAAAACTCCTATCAGGAGCACACAGAAGCTTTAGACAAAAACAAAGTCTCCACTTTCAAATAGTTAAAAAGCAGAGTATGTCCACCCATGGTTTATAGGCTTGGGAACTAGCTTAGATCCATTTTGAAACAATACAAAAAACTCACCGCCATTGAGTCGATTCTGACTCATAGTGACCCCCCCCTTTGGGTTTCAGAGGTGGTAAATCTCTACGGAAGTAGATTGCCCAGTCTTCCTTCCGAAGAGTGGCTGGTGGGTTTGAACTGCCCACCTTCTGGTTAGCAGTCAGATGCCTTAGGCACTACGCTACCAGAGCTCCTTGTTTCGAAACAAGGCAGGATATTAAAATAATAAAGACTCCAGAGGGTCCCCTGAACCCAGGTTCGGTTACTTCTCTACCTGTAATTGGTACTCACATTTTCAGAAGAACAAAAATAATTTCAGGAGTTAGGAAGCCTCTCAAACAGATTTAGTCAGTGAATGACTGATTTTTTTTAAGACCTGTTGCCCTGGAGTTGATCCGACTCACAGCGACCCTGTAAGACAGAGTAGTACTCCCAAGGGGCTTCCAACGCTATCAGTCTTTACACAAGCAGAGGGCCACCTCTCTCCCACAGAGTGGCTGGTGGGTTTGCACAGCCGATCTTTCAGTTCACAGCCGGGCCTTTAACCACTGTGCCATCAGGGCCCCTGAAGACCTCTTCAAAGTTTTTTTATTCCTAGCAAGATGGAGAGTATCCACAGTAGCACTGCCCTAAATTATAAGAAGACATCCGCTGAAAGAGAATGTCTCAACCAGTAGTTCTTGAGAAGTATTTTAAGAGTTGTTTAGTCTTGATTTTAAATGTGGTAATTCAGGAATGCCTTCATGCCAGACTGACTTGATGGGGATTTTGTGGCTTTTTTTTTTTTTTTTTTAAATGTCCAGGCATTTGTTGTTGAAGGTCCAGATTTCAACATGTTCCAACCCTGCAGCTGAGCGTTATGGGTGCTCAGACTGAGACAGGCATATGTTTCCGGCCAGCCCGGAGTCTGCAGCATTCCCACCAGGCACAGACGCAGAAACTCAGAAGCAAGAGTGCCCAGGGATCCGAGTGGAATGGACAACAGATAACGTGCGTGCACCGGGGGTTCTCAGGCTCTCCACAGGGCAGAGAGGTGGTGGGAGGGACCCCAGCCTATCGGCATCCGGGCTCTTTCCCATCTTGGTGTGATTTCGAAAAGCCCTCTGACACACCCCAGTCAAATCTAAAGCCCATGAATTATCCAGGACATGGCATCTGTTTAGCTATGCAAATCAGCCCTGGCAGCCACTTGAGAGACCTGGGTGCCAGCGACGAGAGGCAGGCAGCGTGAGGCCTGCAGAGCCAAGCCTTTCGGGGCTGCCTGGGAGGATGAGGGGAGACAAGGGGTGCAGACTCACCCTGAGCCCTGCAGCTCCTCCAGATTGGATGCATTCCATTCAGAGCCCTGGGGGACAGATCACACAGACCGCTGTGAGTGTCACATGCTGGCCTTAGAGCTGCTTGCCAGAGGCACGTTTGCCCTAGCCCTGGTGGGGGTGGCACTGCATGGCCTCAGCCTCAGAGAACAGAAAGGGCCACACATCACAGGAGGCTCCCAGGTGCTCAGAGCGTCATCACCGTGTGTACGACCCTGTGAGGCCCCCAGAGGGAGGGGAAGGGAAGATGGCAGGCTTTCTCACTGGCCCCTAGGCCCCAGGGAAGGAGAGGCCCAGAAAACCTGCCCCCTGTCTCCTGCTTCCTTCCTAAGATTCCAACGTGGTTTCTGGAACCAGAGGGAATGACTTCCCACTCAGGAAAAAGGTTCTTCCACTAATTAACGCAGGAGCTGTAATACTTTTTCTGGGAAGTGCTTTGGAAACATTTAGAAGGTTCACGTCCACTAGCCCCATAACTGCACTTACCAAAGCTCCCTGCGGAAATAATCAGAATTCACAGGGAGACTGACACGAAGGTCCACAGTTATTTATAATGAAACCGTGAAAACAACTCAAAAGTCCAGGAAGAGAAGAAATGAGTAACATAAATTATGACCAATCTATATGATGGAACCATTACAGGAAATCATACTTTCGGAGAATACTTGATGATACGGGAAACAACACATAATAAAAAATGTGAAAAAAAAAAAAAAAAAAGAAAGAAAGAAAGCAGGACATACAACTATTCTCTTTTCTTCCATTCTCTCTTCACTAAAAGATGTCACAGGTATGTACAAAAATCAAAAGATGGGGAGATAAATCCACCAAAATGTCAACAGTGGTCACCTCTGGATCTGTGGGGCCCAGATCTGCCTTTTCTCCTTTAGTAGTATTTCCAAACTGTCTACACGTTTTAACTGAATACTTCTGAAATGATATCATTAAGAAACACACTGAGTGTTCAAAGAACGTGGAAGGGAGAAACGGTCACTCTGCTTAGAAGGGCAGAAGGCCCAAGTCACAAAGAGGGCAGAGCCGGCCTCTCTCCCCACAAACTTCCTTTCCCAGAGGCCGCTCCTCAGGGTCCAGGCTGCAGGGCCCTCATCCAGCTGGCAATCTGTGGTGTGAGCTGGGCTTTCATATTTTAGGGAGCGGCCCAAACATAAAAATTCCTTTAGTATCTCTCATGGAAAAAGTGACATAAAGCACCAAACCACATCAGGAAAATAAGGACAGTGCCATTGAGGGCGAGTGTCCTTCTTGCCATGACTGCCACCTAGTGGAGACAGGAGGCGGTGCCTTCCGCTGGTCGCACCCAGAAAGGGATCCCCTTCCCAGGTAGAAGACCAGCAGGGCCCAGTGGGCCCCAGGCAGCTTTCAAGATACTCCTCAAAGCCACATACTTATCTATACATATATATTCATACATACTGCAAATAAATATCTAATTACAAATGTCTATCTATATAATTTCATTTGCCATTTGCCATCAAGTCAGTTTCAACTCGTGGTGACCCCACGTGTGCAGTGTGGAACTGCTCCATAGGGTTTTCACAGCTGTGACCTTTCGGAAGCAGAAGGCCAAGTCTATCTTCCAAGGCACCTCTGGGTAGGTTCAAACGGACAACCTTTCCGCTAGCAGCTGAGTGTTGAACTGTTTGCAGTACCCAGTGACTCCTGGTATCTACAGATTTCTGTTTCTCTGTTACACATTTAACTGCCTCAGAAACCTAAGGAGGGGTTGCTATGAGTCGGGTCCGACTCGATGGCACATAACAACAACAACAACAGCTACACATGTAAAGAACTATTGACTACTTTCAGTGGTAGAAAGCACAGTCACATGTCTTCAGCAGCAAAGACACTTCCTCGACTTCCAGGAGACACTTTTTCCTGTAGTAACAGTGGTACCTACAGAAACTGCACTCAGGCTGTGCACAAATGTCTTGTTAAAGTCCTCATCGTGATCCCATGAGGTGCAGGATGAAGACACTAGGTGAGAGTGTGCTCCCACCCAGCATGGCAGGCACTGAGGCCTGGCGGGTCTGATTCCCACCATGCCATGTGGCCTCTCTAATGTTAGAAACACGGCTCCTGCTATACGGTCTCACTTTGAAAATGTGCCAATTGCCTTCTTTGGAGATTTATACCATTAACAGAATCTGAGCAAGGATGGCGGTGAAGAGACTTCCTGTAGCACCAGGGCCCATTCT